TCGTCGCATCATTCAAGGTCAAAGTAGTCTCGAGAACCCTCATTACAACGACCACGTCCTCAGACAGAATCTTTCACCGGGTCTCCTTGTCCGCAAACAAAATGGCTTCTCTCTCCGTTTTGTGAAGACCTAGGGAGTTATCCCCGCCAAAAATGTCATTGTTGAGGTAACAGGGAGGCAGCACGAAAGACTCTCCAACATTTTTGCTTTTATATGAAAAGACCCCACACTCAGGACCTTCCTCGCGCCGCCTCTTCAAGGGCTGCTCAGGGGGAGAGAGTTGATCACCTCGAGGAGAAGAGGAATCTCCGACATGGGCGTCAAGTTTGGCTCGTTCCTAGATCTGAGAAGCATGCCCTTTGGGCAACTTCAGACCATCCTTGCCCCTCAGCTTGAGCAGGCATTCCTCGAAAGTCGCCATTCGACCTACAATCTAAAAAGGGGACAATTAGTCGACGAAACAAAACAGACAAAATATTTATTATGAGCATGCACCCTACCTAGCAGTCTCAAAAACATTTCGTCTGAAGAACATTCGAGGAGCACTTTCGTATTTATCATCCGGGAAACATAGACATACTCCCCCTTATCATGAAGAATGAAGTTGTTGTTTGAATCCACACATTTGGCAGGGGAGAAACTCTTAACATAGGACGCTAGTTATCATAAGCAAGCTTATCCTGGGCATCTAAATCCCCAGGCTTTACTGCATAATATTTTGGATTCTGCTCGAAATGCTTCCAGTGCCACTCGAGGGGAAATTTCACCTTTAGCTTCGTTACCTCCAAACCATCCTTTGTCACTATTAAACGCTCGTACAAGGAGCCCATGACCGCTTCGTAATAGGTTTCACGGTATAAAACCTTTCCTTGAAATACCAGACAAATTCCAAATATGGTCAAAACAACTTTCCGAACTGCTTGAACGAAACCCAAGCCTGCCGACCATTGACCATCTGCCGCTGGAGGTGGAAGATTTGGAAGAACAAGGTTAAGGTAGTTCCAATCTCAAGGTATTGACAAATGATCTCAAATGCCCGCATAAACGCAAGTGCATTCAGATGGAGATGAGAAGGCGCCATGTATAGCCATTTGAAACCCCCCACCTGGAAATCCATAAAAGGCAGGAGCATCCCACTTCCTTAAAGGAGAACTCATACATGGGGAAGCGCTTGCCCGAGAAAACTGAGCAGATCCTCATGTGCTTGTTTGGAATAAGAACCGATCAGGAGGCGAAAGCATCATCTTCCCTCTCCATAACAACGTTTAATGCGTCAGAAGGATCATGAATAAACTAAGTCATCAAATTCCTGGGTTTGGGCGTGACCCAATCTAGGGGGTTGCCCACGCCTACATTTCCTCGCCATTAGACTTGGGCAAAATAACTTCTTCGACTGGTTAAGTCATCTTACCTGAAAAACAGAGGAAAATCGTGAACTCGGTATTATCAAATCCACCCTCCACCGCAAGTCAAGTGAAAGGGCAAGGAGCTCCTCGAGGGTAGGTCCTCGACTCAGCCTTGATGGCTACACGAGAGGAAACGACTCCCCCCGGCTAAGCATAATCACGAACTTCCTCCCCGACAAAGCGACTTACTCAGATTTTCCAAATCACGAGAAGGATTCCCTGGCATGGACCCGTATGAAGATCAATTGAGATTCATGGGTCTCCATCCAGAATTTATGAATCTTCATACGAAATTCATGAAGTTTATCCGAAGTTCATGAATTTCATCGGAAAACCCATGGATCTTCATCCGAAATTCACGAACTTCTTTAGAAACTTCATTTGTTCATCTAAAACCCTAAAGTAAATTAACATATTCAAAGGAAATCACTTACTTGAAGAAGGATGAACGATTGGAGAATTCTACAGCGGCGGTGGAAGCAGCGGAGTAACTTGTGAATGGAGGAGAAGAGAGAAGAAAGCAAAGTTGAAAATGCTCAAGTGAATTTCGTCACCCCCTTTTATAGTTAGTCCCCATCATATAGGGTAGCGTGCAAGTAGTCATCATTGCTTAAGCCCCGGGCTTCCCTAGCAAATGATGACATTCTGAATAGCCGCCACGCGTGGCACGCAGAGTAACGCTCTTTTTCAAGTCTTTATAGGCGAAAAAGTGCTCGAGATTGTTGCGACACTTTTTCCTACGGGCACCTCGAAAAGACAAGCGCGAGGAAGAATTCTGCATTTTCCCCATGAACGCAGAACCCCAAGCGAACAACCACATGAGGGCGGGCAGTCGACGAATCAAATGAGGAAGATCCTTCTGCACACACACCATATCACAAAGAGTTGACAAGGAGATTGATGATCTGCCGACCATGTCATCCTCGACCGAAATATGGTGACTATTTACTGGTTTGTCCCCGAGCGTGTGGGGCAAAATTTAAGTCCCTTGTTGGGAAACCTCTCCCCGATAGTTAGGTTATTCCTAAGTCATCACTCTTTCTCCCAAGAGCAATAACTTGGGGGGCTCCTGTTCTGGAATGGGTTGATGCTTGGCCCACCATGGGACAGACCCAATCCAACACCTCTACTATGGCCCAATAACATCCATCCCAAGTCACTAACCGTTAGAGATGTCCCCACGTGCCCACGAGGGAAACGTCGTCACCGGTTATCTGAAACCACCATCCTGTCCACCGAGAATAACGGGTCCAACTTCCCTATCATCTCAGGGCAGTTTACCAGGGAAGAGGCCACACACTAGACTCAATTACTCACATAACCTTGGCAGTCTTTGTTATTGGGCCCAACTACTTGGCCCAATACGTGGATCTTGATCCAACGTTGGGGGTTATAAATTCCCTTTTACATGAGAGGGTCAGGTATTCATTCATTCTACACACTTGCATTGCTTGCACTTACTCTAAACCTTACTTTGACATCAAATTGTCTTGCAGGTATCTCTCCACTTCACTTCAACAACCATCAAGTTCCAGCTTGTGGGCCATCGGCGATCCCTTTTGATCAGGCACGATCAATACTTATTTATTTTTATAGAAAAAATATTAGCCACAACAAGTGTTTTTACTTTTTTTTTGTTATTGATGTAAGATGTATTTTTTTATTTAGAAAAGAAAGATGCAAAATATATGTTTTTTTTTAAATAAAAAAATAACGAAATATTAGTGTCATAGTTTTGATAAAAAAATACAGAATTTTCATAATCTGTGGATCTCCATGGAAATATGTGGGGATGAGGATGAGGGGAAATATTCGTCTTTGGCGGAGATTGGGGGCGAGGATAGAGAATAAATTTGAGGGCGAAGCGGGGGCGGAAAAGCATCCTTCAAAATATTCTCTGCTCTGTTGACATCCCTAGGTGCGTCATTATAAGTTATACGGTGGCCACCATAATACTTAAAATAGTAGTAAGCAACTCTTATAGCTTATTCAACATAAGATTTTAGATTTTAAAATTTTTTTTTGTATATATAAAGAAACTTTGAACAAGCAAATAAGCAAAAATCAATCTAACCAAACATAAAAATCCAAACGAGGTTTTTGAATTGCAGGAAAGAATACAGAGAACCCCAAGAAGAACCAAGCTGAAAGAAGGCAAGAAGCACATCAATTGAACTAGAGTAGCAGCCAACCAAATAACACATCACTATAAATTCAAGCTCAAGATTGAGTTTTGCTCCTATTCTCAAAGAGAGAGGTTTAGTCCAGGCAAACAATAGCAAAGTCATTTTGACAAATTACGAAGGTCACTCAGTGATTAAACAACAAACTTTTCTTGTAAAAAATAATTTTATCACACATATTCTGGATAGTTCAAGCCAATGCATATTAAATCAAGGATAGACACAAAGTCACCATCTTATCTCTACCTAGCAATTGGAATATTTCAAATACCTCTTAGACTGTCAACAGAAAGGGTAGAAGCCTATCCGCTCGTTTAAGAATCATATACCATCCACAAACACATATTAACACAAAACAAACAAGTGATCCACAGACTCAACTTGCCCTCGACACACATCACAATCCACTTCACTACCTATTTGGATAATGCCACACCTGCTCAAATTAAGCTTGATGGCCAATTATCCTGCAAAAGAAGTCAATAGAAAATAACAATTTTGAAAGGTATTCAACTCTTTCAACAACTAGCTAATCCTTAAATTACTTGATCATATTTACATTATTCTCTCACCTCAAATGAGGAAAGGATATCATATGCCATAAAATTAAATACCTTTTCTTGGAGCCCGAAATCCAAACTCAGATGTCCTATTTATCCTGATTCACCATCTCTATGATGGAACTAAGTAGAGCACCCAAAATATCTTCCTCTCAATCACACAACATCCTTCTCCACCTAAACTTCCAAATCTAAAAACCACCATACCAATGCCCCAGCTTTTCCATCTCACATGTCTCCTCTTCAGATATGAGAAACAACTTCTCAAAAATTACATTGTGTTGATTCACCCCAATCCACTCATCATGCTATAATCGAGTATTCAAACTTTCACTCAGTTTAATTTTTTAAAGAACTAATCCTTCTAAAAAATATCTATTTGATCCTCCTTCAACAAAACCATCATAAAATCATAATCTATATTAAAGAGTAACTTTTTAATTAAATCTTATTTTAAAAATAGTTATAATAAAAATTAAATATTTTAAATAATCTAATAATAATTTTAAAGATGGTTATGATAAAAATTCGATATTTTAAATAATCTAACATTGATTTTAAAGAGAGTTTATATTAATCAATTTAATTTATTTTTCATCTCAAAAAATTTTCATATTTTAAATATTGACCTCATTGTAAGAGAAATATAAATAACATAATTGCCTAAAAAAAAATTGAACTAAACAATATTATATTATTTTCCTTCTCACTCTCTTCTAAGATCTTCCGTGTTAGAAAATTTCACACCCTCGCCGAAACTCAGAGTGTAAACTCAAAAAATTTCAAATCTCCAATTTCTGAGTTTTAGGGTTAGAGTTAGGGTTAGGGTTTGTCCTTTCAATTTCACCAAAATGGGTTCCTACGGAATGCAATCAATGTTGAAGGAAGGTCACAAACACCTTTCCGGTCTCGACGAAGCTGTTCTCAAGAACATCGATGCTTGCAAACAACTTTCCACCATTACTCGAACTTCTCTTGGCCCAAATGGTAACAACAATCACATTCACCGTTTTTATTTTTGTTGCATTTTTATGTATTTATTTCAATTGATCATTGTTCCTTCAGATTCGAAAAGTTTAGATTTTGAAATGTAGTTGTTGGAGTTAATTTTAGTTCATATGAAAAATTGGGGGAGAATTGAAAAAAAAAGTAATTTTTATTTATTTTTCATTTATGTAGAGTTAAGTTTTGTTCATATTTCAAAAATTGGAATGTTTTGTGCTTGACAAATTTGTGGAGAACTGAATTTTTTTTTCTTCATTTATGAAGAGAATTTGGGATGTATGATTGAAAATGACTGGTTTGGTTTGGCTAGATTTAGAATGGTGTTGGTGGACTTATGTGTTGTTTTTGTTCTGCTTCAGGTATGAATAAGATGGTTATAAATCATTTGGACAAGCTTTTTGTCACAAATGATGCTGCCACGATTGTGAATGAGCTTGAAGTTCAGCATCCTGCTGCCAAGATTTTGGTTTTGGCTAGTAAGGCTCAACAAGAGGAAATTGGGGATGGAGCGAATTTGGTTATTTCTTTTGCTGGCCAGCTTTTGCAAGGGGCGGAGGAACTTATTAGGACGGGCTTGCACCCGAGTGAGATTATTAGTGGATATACAAAAGCAATTAATAAGGTTTGTCATTTTTTCTGATGAGAGTCTCAATAGAGATCAATGTTTTAAAAATCGGACTGGAGATAGAACCCGGTTGAATGAAACTACAATACAATCGGGATCTAATTGGCCGGCAAATTTGCAGGATCATGGTTTAACTGGTTGAACTAGTTGGTTTCATCTGGTTTTAAAACATTGGCAGTGACTCACTTTTAAATGTCACTCACTCTCACTCGTTGTCATGTTTTAGACAGTTGAAATATTAGATGAGCTGGTGGAGGAAGGCTCAGAAAGTATGGATGTGCGTGATAAGGAACAAGTTATTTCTCGAATGAGAGCAGCAGTTGCTAGCAAGCAATTTGGTCAAGAGGATACCCTATGCTCACTTATTGCTGACGTTAGTATATTCCGCTTACCTCGTTTTATTATGTTAGGAATAATATGCTTTAGTAGCAGCACAAAGTTTGAATATTCTTACTTTTGTTTCCACAATACAGGCGTGCATCCAAGTTTGCCCGAAAAACCCTGCAAACTTTAATGTGGACAATGTTCGTGTTGCAAAGCTCTTGGGAGGGGGTTTGCATAACAGTGCAGTTGTTCCCGGAATGGTTTTGAGAAATGATGCTGTCGGGACTATAAAGCATATTGAAAAGGCAAAGGTTAGATCCTTATACATTCTGTCTTATTGGAAAAGGGTATCTATTATGCAATTCATATGTTGGAATTCTTCACAACTCTATTTTTCTTTTCCCTTATGCTGTTGGTTCCAATCTATGTGATCTCATGATTATTTGGGAAGTTTAATAGAGTTTGTAAAAAATAAAAATTGGGGGAGAAAGGAAAGGTTCATTTGTAAACTGAATTGTACTAATGGATCTCATGATTCAAATACGTGTTAGGTTTATAGTGTTTTTCACCATCATGGATCAAAGTGATTTTTTTTCCATTTGTTTCAGTTGAATTTGATTAGAAATCATCAAATCAGTGCATCAATTTTTTTTCTCTTCTCCATGAAATTTTACTGGCAGACTTTCATATTGTCTACTACTGAGATTTTTGTTAATGTTGTTTAAGGTTGCTGTGTTTGTTGGTGGTGTTGATACCTCTGCAACGGAAACTAAAGGAACTGTCCTCATACATTCAGCCGAGCAGGTATAGGCAAATTGACTATTTAATTTGATTACATATCTTTTCATTTAAACTGGCCGTGAAATGTATTCATTGTTTTGAGTTATGAAGCACTTACAAAGGCATGAACACAAGACATAACATTGACACGTTGACTCCAGTAATAATCTAAGAAAAGGGAATTATTGAATGTAACCACCTGACACGCAATATGAAGTGCCGGTGCTACATAGGTTTTGAGTAAGGAGGCCTATTGATTTGTGATTAGTGGTACAAGCTAAAGTTCTATTCCCCTCCCAAATAAAGGTTAAAATGAGGTTTCGTTGTAGGATAAGGAAACTATATAATGTTCATGATCCTAAACTTTTCTATTATTGTTTGTTTAAACAAAGTTAATTTCTACCAAAATTAAATTAAAAAAAACTAGTGCATATTCTATCCGTTTTATGTATAAAAAAATCATTTAGATTTTATGTATAAAAAAATTATTTAGATTTTAGATGCTTAAGCTTGAGGTCTGGTAGGTTGCTCTAAGTCTAACAACATGGACTATCTTATTTCTTCTTTAACACACACCAGTGTGGAAAGTTTCAAATTACGCCTTTATTTGTGCGTCCACCGTCCACCTGTTTCTGATTGTGCTGGACTTCTCTGTGGTGATTTGTTGTGAATTTCTTGCTTGAGCCTTTGCTTGGAAACTATTTCGAATATTTAAGCTTGAACTTGTTACACAATATGGAAATAATTTAGGACAATTTGTGCTATTGATTTTTATCCATTTCTTACTGTGTAAGGCAATAGCTTTATTTATTACAGTACCTGATACCATTTCGCTCAATATTTTCATTTCATAACTTATAAAAAACTGTGCAAGTATGTTTTTAAAATCATTTGATGGTTTTGGTTATTGTGGATTTATTCTACTTGCTTTGATTCGTATAGCTAGAAAACTATTCAAAAACTGAAGAGGCTAAAGTAGAGGAGCTCATCAAGGCAGTAGCAGATTCTGGTGCCAAAGTGATTGTCAGTGGTGCAGCCGTAGGAGAGATGGCTTTGCATTTTTGTGAACGTTACAAGTGTGTAAAATCTAAAGCTATTGAATTTGCTTTAATATTGTCAATTCAAGCTATGGTATGATTATAATTTATTTTCTAACTTAAATATTCCTGTAGGCTTATGGTTCTGAAAATCAGTTCAAAGTTTGAATTACGTCGATTTTGCCGAACAACTGGTGCTACCGCGAAGGTTAGTATCATTGCTTCTTTGGGTACATATAGGCTTTTGTTACCTACTTTCTGTCTAATCCATTTTTTTTCCTTCAACAGCTGAAACTTAGCCAACCAAACCCAGATGATCTTGGACATGTTGATTCTGTTTCAGTCGAGGAAATTGGTGGTGCCAGGGTAAGTTATAAAGGGATGTCATTTTTATTTATATATGTATTGGCTTATTCTGTTCCTTCTTCTTGTTCTCATTTCTATGTGTGGCTTATAATTTCCCTTCTTTATGATATGACATGCAGGTAACCATTGTGAAAAACGAAGTTGAAGGGAATTCTGTATCCACTGTTGTTCTACGAGGAAGTACCGATAGTATCCTAGATGATCTTGAAAGAGCAGTTGATGATGGAGTCAACACTTACAAGGTGATTTCGAATGTTGCGCACTTTCATAACAAGTGAATAATAAAAGAACAACTCCTTATTAACCCTGTCAAATCTGGGCCTCTGCAGACCAAAGAATTCCTATTACATCAATTTGAATTACACTTTCTTCTGATGCATTTTTCTCACAATAATTGTAATTTTAAATGTTGATTAATCATTTTTCCCTGTGCAATTATTTGTCAGGCCATGTGTAGGGATAGCCGCATTGTGCCTGGAGCTGCTGCAACTGAAATTGAGTTAGCTAAAAGGGTGAAAGACTTTTCCTTCAAGGAAACAGGGTACGTAACTAAAATCCAAATTTAATCTTAGAATTTTTAATGCCGAACTATATCTTCAAGATTATTGCTTTGTAATTAAGCACTACCGTATCTCTGCTTTTGGACTTCATTTTGTTTATTCAATAATCTTTTTCAATGCCTCTACAGATTAGATCAGTATGCTATAGCGAAATTTGCTGAAAGCTTTGAAATGATTCCAAGAACTTTGGCCGAGAATGCTGGGCTAAATGCAATGGAGATTATATCTGCTCTTTATGCAGAACATGCATCTGGAAATACCAAAGTTGGCATTGATTTGGAACCAGGCGTTTGTAAGGATGTCTCAACCATGAGGGTCTGGGATCTCCATGTCACTAAGTTATTTGCTCTTAAATATGCTGCAGATGCCGCATGCACCGTACTTCGAGTCGATCAGGTAATCCAACTAGAAGCAAATAGTAATTAATTATTCACTGCAACTCCTAATCACCTTGGAAGCACTTTTTCTTTGCATAAATTTATGGAAATTGTATTTTGATATTTTCAGATTATAATGTCAAAACCTGCTGGTGGACCAAGGAGAAATCAACCTGCTCCTGGCATGGATGAAGACTAATTGATTGTTTTCTTGCATATGTTAACTAAACCAGCTTACTCAATTTTGAATTTTAAATTAAAGAGATTTTAGTCTGTAAATTTAATTTCATTCCTCTTTTTGAGTAGTGTCAATTCTCTATCATTTCCTTTTTGTTTGGGAATTTTGTAGAGTGTAGTTGACTACCATGAGTTTGAATAGAAACAAAAAAAGTTCATGTTTGATGATCTAAGCTATAAGCAAAAGCTAATTAGTTTTGTCTCTTATATTTAATCTTTGTTGTTTAATCTCATCTTCATTATAAAACAAGAGATAGTTTAAGGAATACAAATTATTTTTTGTTAAAACAATTAAATAAGACTCAAATGTATTGAATTGATTTATAATAATACAATCTCATAAAATTTGTTGATAAGTCAAAATATTTTTTACTCTAGTAATATTGTTTAAAACATTTTTAGGATTTATTTAATCCTATAAATATTTTTTTTCATTTAAAAATTGAACTTTTTTTTAAGAACATCTATATGGTAAAGTTGGATTACAATCAAACAAACAAATAGTACCAAAGCTTATAGAAAAGGACAAAAACTAGAATAATATCTTGAAATATTTATGATGCTAAATAGTAGTATGAAATACAAAGGCTAGTATCAAAAACCTTATCTACTCTTGAATCAATTTCAAGCAACAAAAACCAACACAAATTTTCTCCTCCTTAATGCATGAAACAACATCTCATTTGTTTATGAAGCATAACCATGGCTTCTTCAACTTCACTTTTTTGCTCCAATTTCTTCATTCCAAAATCTACTAGAAACACACTACCATCAACACAATTTTGTTTACCTTTTTCTAGCTATATTCAACACAATCATTACAAGAAATTTTTTCCACTTCCAAAAGTAGCTTCTGTGCCTTACCAACCAATCAACTTTGATTATTTACAACAAGAGTTCAATGGACATGGAGTCACTTTTGAAGAAGTTGGTGGAAGTTGTATGGCCAAAATGGAATTGAAAAATGGAAGCATTGCTACCATTTTGCTACCAAGTGGATTGATTACTTCCTATAAAGCACCTATGTGGCATGGTGCAAAAGTTGAGCTTCTTCATACTGCTGTCTCAGAAAGTGAACTTGGTGATGCCATTATTCAAGGTGGAGTTTCTTTAAATTTCAATTTTCAAGTTAACGACGACGATGGCGATGTAGTTTCATGGTCTCCATCTAATTGGGTTTTGCATAACATTAAAGGCAATGCCGAAGAATCTATTCAGGTATATATTTGTACGCGTTAATGACCATTTTAAAACCATCTCAGATGAAATTAGAACTCAGCTACGATGTTTTATGCAGGTAGAATTAATAAACAAAGGACCGGATGGTAAGACTGGATTAAAATACATTGTGACATTGGAAGAAGATGGATTAGGCTCCGAGCTTGAAATCTCAAACTCAAACTCTTCGCCTCTTCAGATGACAGGTTCCATCTTGACTCATTTGACAGTAAGCAATCCAGAAGCAACATATGCAATAGGATTAGATAGATCGAATTACTATATCCGACCGCCTTTTGAATCGGAGTTCATTTTGAGTCCTCCGGATTCAAGCGAGGATAAGGGATTAGAAAAAACATGGAAATCTTCTGTTAAGCAGTTTTTTTCTGGTTGGGGAACTAACAATCAAAACAATGAAGTGGAAGGAAGTCAAAGTGATAGTGAAGACATGATTGGTGAAGAAACGGATACTTACAAACAGTTAAAAGAAAGAATAAGTCTCGTATACACGGACGCGCCTCGAAGTTTTACACTAATCGATAGGGTATGCAATCGTCATCTTTAACGATAGATTTATCAAAAGTTTGATATGCATAACATAAGCGCTTATCAAACTTCTTTAGTAACAATAACCGTTTTCCTTTTTTGAATCAGGGTAGAAGAAACTCGGTTTTAGTTGGAAGGAGTGGATTCAATGAAACCTACTTGTTCAGTCCTGGCTCATCCGGCATTGAAAGTTACAGCAAGTATGCTTATATATGTGTTGGTCAAGCTGCTGTCCTCCAACCAATAGTATTAAGTTCACAAAATGTATGGAAAGGAGGACAGTATCTACACAATCCAAATCTATAATGTTTTGCAATAGTTTAAAGTGGTTAAAACTACGCAAGTGAAACCAACACCAAGTAGTTTTGCCAATTCAATATCTGGTTCAGTTTTTAAAAGCATTGTTACTTACCTATTTGGTTTACTGCAATGAAATGATTCATCTAATTCCAAACACAGCATTTGTGTTTAAACTTCAACATAAGGTAAAATTCAATCAAAAGCTATTACAGAATCTTACAAAGAAAATTAAACCATATTGAGAATGCTAAAATTGTACTGAACCTCTACTTCTACACAGAACTTCCCAACATTTAGTTGGAATTAACCAACTACTTTCATAAAACTCTAATCATAATTCTCTAGATCCTCCTCGTATTTTACACTAGAATGAGCAAACACATTATGTAGGGACAAGGAAATGTGCTTCTTCTTGACTGTTGATCCAGAGTAAAGGTGTGACCATCGCAACAATGAGGAAAGAGAGTCCACAGAAGAATTTGCGCTTTGCCTTTTGAAGTGGCTTCACCGCAGGAAGAGTTGGTGAGACTTTTCTTTTCTCAAGAAACTTTTCAGACGGCTTTTGCATATCAGAATTACCGGGAATGTAATCAGTTGATGAGACTGATTCTTGTTCATCTTGATACTGCATGTCAACGCCGCATGCGCTTCCGTTCTCGTTGCTATCATCATATTTGACATTGCGAGCAATACCGTTCTGGTCATACTTGGAGTTAGATGATGGACTCCAGATAATGTTTCCTGAGGATAGACTCTTGTGCCGTCTAATCGATTTTTCAGAACAATCGGAACTCTCATCCGTTGGGTCTTGAAGCGAACGAATGAGCCTCTTTGGAGTTTCGAAAATTTGAATCCCTTCTATGACTTGAGTTCGCGATCTCTGAGTAAAGGATACATCAAGTTTCAATTAATAAAAAGGAACACTAGTTTGAAGCCAGAACTGATGTATGCTTATGAAAAGCTTGTGCAATGTAATAGTGCATTCAGGTTTTGCATGTTCATAAAAGCATTATGATATGTAAATGTAAGCCGTAAATTAAAATGAGTAGATGAAAAAGTTTAATGTGTACAACAGTGATTATGCATAAGCAATTCATTAGCAGGAAACATGAAGCAACGAAGAAAACCGAACTAGAAATATTAAACCGTTGGGTAAAGAATGTGAAACTTACAAGGGGACTTGTGTTGGTACTTCTGGACATTCCATGCCTAGGATTTCTGTGATCAAAACCAGCAAATTCTTCAGTTAAATCTCCATTTCCATTGGAAAACCTGTGATCCATTGTGTTATCAAAGAAGCCATTTCCCTCGTCTGCATTTGATGAGAACAAACCATCCTTGAGAGACACATCGACTCCTCCATTTTCAAGGCTCCAGAGCTTCCTATTGACACTCCTTCGTGAATAGTTCAGATTATGAGAAGACTGAAAAGTCGAAATGGGAGACTCGGTAAGGGATCCGTGTCCAGGGAAAAAGTCAAGTGTACGTGACTCAGGTGAATTAGATGCTGGAGTTAGGTCTCCATCGCCGGAAGAACTATCCCCTTCCATATAGTCTCTCCTACTAAGATTTGAATTTGAACCCGTCACAGATGCAGGACTCTTCATACATCTCAATTTTTTGTCGTTCGCCACTTTCTTGGCTGTTTGCAAGGCTTCGAGCGCAGCACCTTTGATGAATGCCATTTTGTCAAATTGGCACTGTTCCATCGCCTCGATTACTTGTTCGACTTCCGAAAAAATACTCCTTGGATCCAAACACTTCATCAAGAAGTTCACCATTTGAATAGCTGTGAACCGCTTCTGAGAATTCCCGTCCGAAAGCTCTCCACCAACATTTAGTATTTGAAGCCCTGAAAGTATGAGAAGTCGAGCATATGCCTCAACAATCAGAGAGTTGCGCTTGGCCAACGCCATAACCAAACCCATATGTGAATTAGTCTGAGTGGACTTTCCGTCTAACGCCGCCGCAACATTTTGGCAAACATTATTAACCATTTCATTAGAAGCATACCGCCAATTATCCGAATCAACAAGTGCCTTCAAGCAAAGAGCTGCGCCACAGCTCAAACTCTCCTGAGAACTCGTGAGCGAATCAGAAAGCGGCTTACAAATAGAACGAATTATATTCTTCTTCTTATCTTCAGGCATTGTAGGGTCAATTCCGTATCTTGCCACAGCTGGAACAACCTTGGAACAAGCTTGTTGGAGAGGGAAAGACCCTGCACTTGAAGCTAAAGTCTGAATTATGGATTGCATTATACTCTCAATCATTGGAACAATTTTGACACCATGAACCCTAGCAAGAACTTCGTACAACGATATTGTGAATTCTCCGGACAAAGTACCGGTTTCTTTAGTCTCAGACACTTGAGCTAGAAACATAGGAATTGTCCTAAAGTCCAAATCTTTCACATAAGACTTCAATGCTCTCATTGCGGATTTGCGACTATCCGCATCTTTGTCAAGATTTTCCAGCTCTCTTTGCAGCACAGGACTCAAATTCCTTCCCATTTTTCAACTGAAACCAAAAAAACAACAACAAAATCAAATCCAAAAACTCATGAACAATCAATCACAAAAATTGACCTCATTTCATATCAGAAATTCTATAGAACAGAAATTAACAACCCCATTCCATTCTTCAACAACTTTTTTTCCCTAAAGCTCAAAGCTTTTCAAAACAAAAATAAACAAACCACTATTCTTTGAAATGGTTCAGTTCAAAATTTCACATTTCACAGCTTTCTTTAACAAAATAAACAAATAAAAGATTAATCTTGAAAATAAAAAACTCACAAACGAAACCCAATAAATCTAATAATAAAAAAAACAATCTTTTTTCTGGGATTTCACAACCCATTAGGTAGAAAAGAAAGAAAAAATATATATTTTTTCTGATTAACAACAATAAAAAACAAAAAGAATTCAAAAACCTAATAATGTAATCATATAAGAAAAATGATGAAATTGAAAAAAGGTAGTACCTTTATGATTTGGAATGAAGAATTGAAGGTAGAAATTGAGCTGTGGAGTGATAGAGTGTAGAAGAAAGTGAGTATGTAGCAAAGTTTGAATGTGAAAATTTAGGTTTTGAAGATTCAATTTTTTTGGCGTTAATAGATTTTGAATTGTTTTGGGAATTCTTTTGTCCAAATTCCACCGCTATCCCTTCCCTTGTGGGGCCCACATGAAAATGAATATTTATATTTTTTTGAAACTTTTTTGTTATTATTTGGATTTAATGCTTGAGATTTGAAATTTGAAAAAATGGAAGAAAAATCTTAGAATCCATTTCTGTTTTATTTTGGACAAAACTTTTTTAATTAATTAGAGTTGTTATTTGATATATATTGTTATTTTAAAAGTGGTGTATTAATCTAGATGAAATTCTTTATTTTAGAAATTATTGATAAGCTGGTTGAATTAATTTATTTTATATGGTACAAGAATTAATTTAATATATATAAAATTGAAACTGAAAAACTAAAATATAACGGTAAAATTAATTGAGATTGAACGTTATGGCATGTAAATAAAACTTTATTAATAATAAAATAAGAAAAGATGATATAAAGAAGAAGAAAATATTGAGCTGAAGAATTATTGATAAGCTATTTATTTAATGATTAACTAATAATGTTGACTGATATTATTATTATTAGTAATCAAGATTTTGTTAATGAATGTTCACTTGTGTGACATATCAAATAAGAATTTTGTATAAAAGAAATTAATCTTTGACCATCTAGAAATATAATATTCAATAATTCAAAATATTCAATAAATAACTTTTATTTTTTTATAAGCTAAATAACTTTTATTTTTATCTCCTATATATTTGACTATTCAACATATTTTGAAAATATATCAAAACAAATTTTTTCTTTAATACTTTAATCGTAGACAAAAAAAACGTATTTTTAAATTAATTCAGAGTTTTTTTTTTTGGATAAAAGGCTCAATATACTGAAAAAAGAAATATATATATATATATATATATATATATATATATATATATATATATATATATATATATATATATATATATATATATATATATATATATATATATATATATATATATATATATATATATATATATATATATAAAACTTATTCTTTACAAAATTATTTTTATTTTTTTTAAATTATATAAAAAAAAAAGTGATTGTATTTGGACTAAGAAAATAATTCTATTTGTTTTTAAAATTTCAAGGTGATTGTTTTTATGAATGGCCCATTGCAGTTACATTTGAACCAACTTTGAGAAGGAGGGGTCCATATGACCTCTTTGATAGAAGGGGCCTTGGGAGCCTGAATGTTGGCTTTGAAAGCCTTAATAAAATAGAAATCCAGCATGCTTATGTGAGAGGTTTTGATAGTATAATTTCCCGAGAACTGAACCTGCTGCAAGATTCAATTTATAATAGTAGAATTATTAGTTTTGATTCTATTGTGCTTTGAATTGTTTCTACACTGCTAGATATTAACAAGAGTATTAATGACAGCAACACAAAGAACAAGAGCAACCTTAAGGGATTTTTTTAGGACACTTAACTGCACCCAACCTTCAATGGAATTGGGATTATTGGAAATCTGGAACTTATTCATAAGCCAACTCCACAGACGTTTAGAGAATATGCAATCAAAAGTCAGGTGCTGAAATGATTTCGTGTAAGTGCAACCGAGAGGACACCTAGAAACCAATGAGTCCCCTCTGGCCATAATGAGATAATTTGTTGGGAGCTTCTTGTTAATCATTTTTCATATAAAAATTGATCTGCTATGGGGTATGTTTGTGTTCCATATCACTTTATGTCAAGGGAAATCAGGCAAAGACTTAGCCTTAAAAAGATAAGAATGCTTAAGCTCTAGAGTACTTGTGGCATTTATGTTTCAGATTAAGAAATAATTTGTGCTGGTACACTCAAGCCTAATATGCACAATTCTGGCTTGAAGAAATAAGAACCATTCAAACCACACAGTAGGAATGCTCTAGAAGAC